TCCATTATAAGGTGAATATGTCTTTGGATTGATCCAAAGGACTTTTATTATTGAAGCAACAAAAAGACTTCATGGAAAAGAGGTGTTTTCACTCAGCCATTTGTTCATTAAACAAACATTTGTTAAGCACCTACTGTGTGCAGAACACCATGTTAAGAGCTATATAGGAGAACCTCAAAGACAGCATTATGCCAAAGCTTCTTTTTCCTCTTTTGTTTATTTCTTCTGCCATAGATAATTTTTTTAAAAATAGCACAGACCTCTATTAGAAATGCACATGACAGGGGCAGCTAGGTATTGCAGTGGATAGAGCACTGGCCTTGGAGTCAGGAGGACCTGAGTTCAAATCCAGCCTCAGACACATGATACTTACTAGCTGTGTGACTTACTAAGCAAGTCACTTAACCTCAATTGCCTCACCTTAAAAAAAAAATTAAAAAAAAGAAATGTACTTGACAATGGAACTTCTAAATATCTCATGAAATTATCTCAGTTGGATGTTTTATTCACTAGGTCATTTGGAGTTGAAAGGAATCTTAGAGATCATCTAGTACCATTCACCTCCCTCTTTTACAGATGAGAAAACTGAGGCCCAGAGAGATTAAGTAACTTGCCTAAGATGACAAAGGTGGTAAGTAGCACGTCTATCACAATGTAGACCCACGTCCTCAACTCTAATGCCAGTGCTCCTACCATTAAACCATACCGGCTCATTCACACCTGAGGCATCCTCCCTTCACCCATTGAGTTGGAGCAAATGTGGAAAGATATATAATTTGATAAGCTGAGTGACAGCTGAAGTTATGATTCTCTAATCATTAACATGCAATTTGAAAATTAGTTTCTTTGTGAACTTGGAAGAACAGAATATGACATGTATTTATCAACCCCAATGCAACTGACTGCTTTCCTTTCCTCACTGGTATATGTTTATATTTGCATGCATGTTGGAATATATGCATATATACATACATGCATGTTTGCCTTCCCTCAAAAATTTCATGCTCCTTGTTTTATTCCTAGTTAAATACCTACCTACCACTGCTGAAGTCTGTCAACTGGCTAGTGTTTACCAACAGTCAGCAAACTGGTGGATTAAGCCAGTGAAACTGTTTCTATTATTAACTTTGTTTATTTAAGTGATGGCTGAAATTCTCATTAGGGACCATTAACAGATTTCCCTTCTAACCCCACACATTGCACTTTGGTGGTTTCTGTTTCTTTTTGCAAACATTACATTTTTATTGAAGTTCAAGACAAATTTAGCTTTCCTTGTTGGAACACAGAAGGCCAAAAATGACTGATCTGATTATCCCATTGTGACAACTCAAAATGAACATAAATCACCTTTCCTTTCCTGCAAAGGGGAAGCAAAGTCCTATTTTTATTCATACTTAAATCTCTGAATAAACCACAGCCCTTAACTCCTTAATACTTCCTGTATTAGAAGTGTCACTGTGAGATAACAGCTTTCCTAGAGGCTGCATTTCATGTTTCAGCCAGGACAAAGTATTGTGTTCTACAGATTTCTGATCTGCTTTATATTTGATATTCCATATTAAAGTTATATGTATTTTGGTCTTTTTTTCCTATCAGATTATATGTTATAGGATGGCAGGGATTCCAGGGATGGGGAACCTGTGGCCTCTAGGTCCTCAAGTGCATCTCTTTGATTGGATCCGAACTTCACAGAACAAATCCCCTTAACAAAAGAACTTGTTCTGTAAAACTTGGACTCAGTCAAAAGGCTGCTCCCAAGGACATAGAGGGCCACATGGGCCTCGAGGCCACAGGTTCTTCACCCCCCTGGACTAGAGATTAGCTAAACCTTCTGCTTCCTCTAGCACCTAGCACAGTGCTTGCACTTGAGAAATGATGCACTTAAGAAATTTTCATGAATTAGTGAAACTTTAGAGCCAAAAGGCACTTCAGATATTATCTGGATCAAGAGTTCTTAACATGCAGTACATGGACTAGGGTCATGGAGATATTTCAAAGAGGCCATGAACTTAGATGAGAAAAAAAATTATACCTTAATTTTTATTCATCTCTAAATTAAATTGAACATTTTCTCAATTATTAATTTTTTAAAACCCCATTATTGTAAGAAGATGTCCATAGACTTTGTTAGAGTCCCACAATACAAAAAAGGTTAAGAACCCCTGAGCTAGATTGAGGGGTAAAATCACTGTGGAGAAGGGGTCCACTTTCCCTGTCACCACACACCAACTGGGACTAACTGCCACCTCCTGTCATGTATGGCCCAGAGCCCCAGGAACAGCAGCACTCTCCTGGTTAGACTGGCCTCCTTCCAGCCCAGCCCACACAGCCATCATCCCAGGACAATCCCTGGGGAGGAGGAGCCAGGCATCTCCATTAACACCCTGACAGCTGTCAGGGTCAGGAGGACCAAGATAGCTGAAGCAGCAAGATGTCCTGAAGGAGTGACTGAAGGCACCTCAATCAAAACCTGCCCTCAGACTACTGTGGAATAAGACCTGGCAACTGCTTTCATGGGTGCTATGGCCCCTGCCTCCTCAGCCACCACAGCGACAGAAGTCCCAGAAAAGAAAAGTTTTGACACCAAAGTCCTTGGCACTATCAAATGGTTCAATGTCAGAAACAGATAAGAATATAAGTGAAAATAATATTAAAAAGATTGCATTACCATCTACTTTGCTGCTGCATCCTAAGGACCATGTGATCTTTTCATCTAATTTGCAGCTGAAAACTACATGTGTTCTTTCCCCATTAGAATGAAAACTTTTTGGGGGGGGCAAGGCAATTGGGGTTAAGTGACTTGCACAGGGTCACACAGCTAGTAAGTGTCAAGTGTCTGGCCTGAGATCAGATTTGAACTCAGGTCCTCTTGACACCAGGGTCAGTGCTCTATCCACTTTGACACTTAGCTTTCCTTTAAATGCAAACTTCTTGAGAGCAGGGACTGTCTTGCTGTTCTATCTGTATCTCCAGAACTCTTAGCACAATGATCTGCACATAGTAAGTACTTAAATACTTTTCATTCATTCATTCATTCATTCATTCATTCATTCATTCATTCATTCAT